TGTCCGTTTCTGTCTTCTAAACTTTGGGATAATTGTTTCCATTTGTTTCCAGCGACCTCTTTCAATTTCTTGTGCAGATGAAATGTATCGTGTTTCTTTTCATATTGTTCAATTTCATTACATTTTCATTAAGAAAATGATGATTAAACAAAGTTAAACAAGGAAAATCGATGCAGTATCCAGCAAGATTGATAAACTTCTGCAATGGTAATAAAAGCATCAGAAATATTTGGCACAGGCTAACTAATTTAAAACAAACTGTGCAATTACAAAATAAGAAAATTAGTTTTAAGCTGTTGCTTTAATCCGAAGCAATCTTGCTGTTCAAGAACAGTGGATTCGTAATTTTTCCTCAAGAGAAGAGATAGAGAGAGAGAAAGACAACAGGTGTAAACATAAGTAATATAAGCAACAGAGAGAAAAAGAAAAAGGAACGGGTGACTTCGCAAACCAGGAAATGGTCTGGAAAGACGTGTCACGAGCGTAAGCCGAGAGTGGTTTTAATTGGTACGAATTGTACCATAGATGCATCCGAGTTGGAATTGCATTCGGATTGGAATAAGGGGAAATGCATTCGGATGTCCTCCGTCCAGTGCAAGTCACGCTAGGTGCGATTCATCTGGTACGGTCTATATTTATTTTTTATTTAGCGTATGGCAATTTGATACACAACATTATCACATATATGTTACAATCTAACATCTAATGTATTAATATATTCAATCGACGCTGGTGTTGCAGGGGCGAAGTCTAGAGGATCTCCATAATACTTCCTCCGAGGGCATTCGGCAATCATATGCTGGATGGTCTGTTTCTCGGCGCCGCAGTCGCACTCAGCAAAGGTTCTCATCCTCCATTTATAAAGGGAATCTGCGCAGACTCCATGACCCGTTCTTATCCTGTTAAGAGTTAACCATGATTTTCGGGGGAGGTCAAAACCTGGTGGAGTTTTTGTGATGCATGGTGTGTTTCTCATTATTAGGTTCGGTCTGTCGCTCTGCATGTTCTTCCACTGGGAGTTCATTTGAAAATTGTTGGAACTCAAGTTTATTGCATCTCTAGTCGGAGGTTTTCTAGAGCGCAATCGATGTGAATTAGCGTCGGCGACATGTGTGTATAGGTAATTGCGGGTTGTTAAGCAGCTTTTGGAATTCTCTAAGCAGAGCATGCTGACGACGAAGATTAGGTGGAGGTATATGGCTCAGTAGTGGAAGCCACTCCACAGGTGTAGACTTGATCTTTCCAGATATGAGACGCATGGCGACATTGAGCTGGGTATCTATAATTTTTGTGTGAACGCTATTCAGCCAAACATGAGAGCAGTATTCAGCTGCGGAGTATACGAGTCCAAGGGCTGAACACCGAAGTGTACCTGCTGATGAGCCCCATGTAGTCCCGCAAAGCTTCTGTATGATGTTGTTTCGGGTTCTCAGTTTTGCTGCGGTGTTCTCAAGATGTTTCTTAAAGGAAAGTGTTCTGTCCAGGGTGACGCCGAGGTACTTGGGATTATAGTGGTGCGTGAGCAGTTGGTTATCAATATAGGTATACTTTAAGTTTTGTGTGGGCCATTTTGTTGTTCAGGTGAAAACAGCTAACCTCGGTTTTTTGGGGGTTAGGTTTAAGTCTCCATTGTTTAAAGTACTTAACCAGGCGTTCCAGATCTTCCGTTAGGATTGCCTCGGAGTTTTGTATTAAGGAGCTTTGAGTTGCAAATGCCCAGTCGTCTGCATATCCAATTTTTTTAGATCTGGTAGATAGATAGATAGATAGGTTTATTGACAATTTTTACATAGTAAACACTACATGTCATGTCACAATAAAAATAATTTACTTTTGTATACTAAGAACTAAGAAATAATACAAGAACATATAATAAAACATACCGGGTGGTGAATCGTCAAACGGACCATAGGAAACTTAATGAGAAATTTTAAATTGTTGAATTGCTGCTTCCCTAATTATTTTAGATCAAAAGTCATATAAAACTATTTGTAGAGGACTAAAATCTGAATTAAAAACAAATGTTAAAACCGTTCTACGACTCAAATGTGCTTAAAAATTTTGCAAAAATATAATACATTTTCAGGCCACCCCTAAAAGTTAGGCCACACGTAATGCAAGAATATATATTAGGACGTTTGTGTTTTATCATATTTATGTCAGATGTTTGACAATTTGAATTGTCAATTTTTTTATTTTATGATTAAATTATAAACAATGAATTTTACTAAATACTACTACTAATGAACATTATTACTTTGTGAACAATAAATTATATTGTTTACAAATCGATCAATATAATGAAATGTACTCAGTTGACGAAAAATCGCATAATGTTGTATTCAGGCAATAGCGCGAACCTTTTCCTGCCACTACCGGATCTTTATTTAACGTATATTCTAATTCACTAAAATTTAATTCCATGTTAAGTTATACAACACTTTAATGAATTCCAATATACTGTTACTGTGATCTTTATTCCTAATAATAATATATGATAATTTCTAAACATAAAACTATAACAAATGTTATAATAAAACATGAATAAAACATTTTTATTACTGCTTTTTTCTTCTCAACTGAATACATTTTTTAATCAACTTAATTTTTTTTTAACAATAAATCACAAAATTTTGGCCATTTAAATCATAGATAAATGTAATATAATTGATTTAAATATTGTCAAATATCAGAAACAATAATATGACAAAACGCAACACGTAATACACATATTTTCACAGAAAAATGTATTATATTTTAGCAAAATTTTGGAATACGTTGAAGTCGTAGAATAATTTTAACAGTTGTTTTCGATACATATTTGAGTCCTCTACAAATAGTTTCCCATGGCTTTTGGTGTAAAATAATTAGGGAAGCAGGAATTCAACAATTTAGAATTTCCCTTTGAGTTTTCCTATGGTCCGTTTGACGAATCACCACCCTGTATACAGTGAAAATTAGATATATAAAATTATAACAAATAAGAAAGAAACATTTCAGTAAGGCGTAATATAGTTTTCATTAAAAACGACCACACTAGCAGCTCAAACAAACAAATTCCTGTATACTATAGAAACAGTGTTCCAGCAGGAAGTGTTTTGCTAGTTTATAAAATTGTTTAGAATTCATTGCCTTAATATCAATATTTTTGTTTAAGTTTAAAAAACAATTATACAGATTATAATCTATTGTATTAAGTTGTGTAACACACAATCTGGAATATGGTATAATGATATGACTTTTATTTCTTGTATTGTAATGATGTTAATCAGCATGTGATTTTACATCTTTTATATTATTATGAATAGTTATCAAAGTTTCAAATATATATATTGAAGATAAAGGAAGAATGCCATACTTCTTAAATAAGGTAGGGGGCATATCAGCTATATACATACTAAATAGCAGCGGTGCAAGTACGGAACCCTGGGGGAGGCCATTATTAAGCGTTCTCTGTTTGCTCACTGTAGTTCCCATGGTTACACGGATGTTTCTACTGCTCAGTATAGTATTTATGAGTTGGGCGGTTGCTTTGCAGGGGATTATTTTAAGGAGCTTATAGATGAGGCCATCTTTCCAAACCGTGTCATAGGCAGCCGATAAATCGATGAATGCCACAGACGTCTTCAGTTTTCTTTGGTAACCTGACTCTATGTAGGTAGTTATAGAGAGCACTTGGTCAGTGGTGCTTCGTTGAGGCCTGAATCCTGCTTGTTCAATTGGTATTTTTTGAAGTAGCTTTGGGCCGATTCTGTTCAGGACCAGTCTTTCGAGGAGCTTGTAAGCTGCACTGAGTAAAGCGATGGGGTGGTAACTCACTGGGTTGTCTGTTGGTTTTCCAGGTTTCAGGATGGCTATGATTTTTGTTTGTTTAAAGAGGTTTGGTAGGTTACCTGTTTTGAGTATATCTGTATAGAATTTAGACAATCAGGTTTTTGCAGATTTCCCACAATGGATCAGGAATTCGGGAGGTATACCGTCTGTACCAGGAGCTTTGTTAGGTTTAATGTCTTTGATGGCGTTTGAGACTTCTTCTGGAGTGAACGGTGCGGAGTACTCTGTATCTGATGGACAGGCAGCTTTTAGATGTTTAAGCTCCCTTTTTATAGTAGTGGTAAACTTTTTATCACATGCTCCTCTGGAGGTGGCAACTATATGTGATGCAATTTTATTAGGGTTGAAGTCGTGGATTTGTCGTGTTGCCAGTTTGTCACTTCCGAGTTTTCTTAGGAGTGACCACGCTTTACGGCTAGACTTTTTGAAATCTAACGATTCGACTTCATTTGTCGATTTCTTCCTTCTTGCTACATCAAGGCTCAGGAGAAGTTCGTCCCCAATGTCATTTTCACCGGTTTCAAGATATTCTTCGTAGAGGTTTTGGCTTTCCTCACTCCATCCTGGTATGTATTGCTTACGATGGCCCCTGGGAATGTGTTTCTTTGATGTAGCAAATATTGCCCCTCTAAACCTTTCATAATTTTTGTATGTTGGTGGAATCCTTCGTAAGATTTTATTGAGTTCATTGGTAAAGGCAGGCCAGTTACCTTGGTTAAAGTTCCAGCAACGGTCTATAGATTTCCACTCTCACAAAAAAGAAAGATGTCTGAGATATATCTCCCATCTGGAGATTTTTCACGAGCAATTTTAACTACCCTATTTTTTATTCAATTTATATGATCGTAGGAAACATACATACGACCGATCTATATATCTAATGAACGTGTACTAATGACCAAGCACAAAGAGCGAGAATTGATCAACATCATCAAAATAAGAAAGATCCAATATTTCAACCATATAATGAGAGGAACTAAATATCGCTTACTCCGGTTGATCATTCAGAGCATTTTCTGAGCGTTTTCCGACGGAAAACGAAATAAGCTAAAGCAACAATCAAATGAACTCGAACTCGCTAAAATTTGAACACGAAAGAACAAACCTACAACGACCAGTTCCAATAATAGAGCTTAAAAATCTCGTTGTGTAATACTAATACTTACAGCGTATCCATTTACTGCTGCCAGAAGGGGCTTCTTCATGTTAGCGATAAGCTGCCAAGCGGCAATAAAATCTTCAGCTACGCATTTTGCAAAGGTATTGGTTACCATCTCCTTAATATCGGCTCCGGCAGCAAAAGCTTTCTCGTTTCCAGTTATGACAATAGCACCCACGGATTTGTCGGTGTCGAAGGAGTTCAAAGCTTCAGATACTTCGGATATCAACCCATTGCAGAGGGCGTTGAGTGCTTTGGGACGATTGAGTTGAATCAGTCCAACATTTTGTTTTTCTCCAGTCTTGGAGACTTTAATAAACTCGTAGTTTTCTGAAATTATATTAAATATAATTAAACATGTTATATGCAAAATGAACAGAGAACTTCAATAACTACTAAATTAATTTAAAAAATAAACAAAATCAATTAGAAAATAAACAAAATCAAAAAATAATTTAAATCAAGAACAACGACGGTAGAAACAAAAGAGGAAATATCTTGACATAACAGCATGACATACTAAGAAGATGAACAGAGCATTTTAAGGAAAAGTCTTAAAGGAGACAAAAAGGAAGCGAACTTCAGAACAATAATTGAAGTTTCTTTATTAACCCCAATTTTATTACAACCTATCTATACAATCTCAACCTAGTAAGGTACATATTTTTAGACCAGTATGTTGCCTTGTTTGAGAAAAGGTATAATGTAGCCAGACGGGATAGAGTTAATAATAAAACTCGTGGTGGCGGTTTGATCATTGCAGTTAAGATAAATTTAGTATTTGAACATGTTAGTTTTAATACTGACAGTGAAATTGAATGCCTAGTAGTAAAAATACAATATCACAAGAATATTTTATTATTAATATGTGTGTATATTCCACCTTCTGTTTCTATTTAGTTTTGAATATTTTTTTAATTAATCCCAAAAATTTTGTTTGTGATAATGTAGATGTCTTTTTTGTTGGAGATTTTAATATACCCAATTTATGTAAAAAATTACAGACCTATTAGTATTTTAAATCCCCTTGCAAAAATATTTGAATATATCTTATATAACAACTTATTACAACATTTTATCAATTATTTTAATCAATATCAACATGACTTCTACCTGATAGATAAACAATTGCAAACTTATGTATATTCAACCAATATGCGGCAGATGTCATAAACACTATAAGGCAAATAGATGTAATCTTCATTGATTGCGCAAAAGCATTTGATAGGGTTGATCATGGATTGTTATTAGAAAAACTGGGCACATTCGGCCTTTCAAATAATGCAGTAATGTTTCTAAATACATATCTAACAAATAGAAGCCAACAAGTTATAGTTGGTAATTCTTATTTGCTTGCTTTATAAATTTTCTTCCTAGATGTCTCAAATTTTCGTCTTGCTTAATATTTGCAGATGATTCTAAGGTGTTTAGAGTTGTAGAAAATCAATGTAATTGCCAACTATTACAACTAGACTTAAATGCAGTATCCAATTGGTTTCAATTGGTGATTACCTTCACACATTACCAAGAAAATCAGTGTGTTAAGATCGTGGAGTGAATTTGCACTTCAATGAACATTATCACATCATTACTAATAAGGCTTTTAGGATATGAGGAATTGTAATTAGAAACACAAAACATTTTAAGATGACAAATAGCATAATTAAATTATACAAGTCCTTGGTTAAACGACACCTCGAGTATGCAGAAGTAAATATAGATTTAGTTAAAAAAGTACAAAAAAGATTTTTAACCCATTAATGCCCACCGTATTTTATATAATACGCGATACATTGTTACATATTTCGCCATCTACTAGTCAGAAAAAAAAGTATACATTAGTTGTTTTCCCAATTTAAGTTACAGAATAGATGTTGGAAGGTAACGTTTATCATAAAATTAGAAATTTATGACCGCTTGGCGGTAAAGGGTGATTAGTTTTGCGCTAAGTTTTGTTAGGTTATATTATAGTACACCGATTGTATTTTAGGAGAATTTGTGGGACTTTTTCGATCTATTTTGAAAAATATTTTGTAGTGATCAACTCATAAGGCTACTAAATAACGAATAGTGATATAAATAGTATTGAAATTTATACCAGTAAGTATTTTGAAGGTCTTTGATTCTTGCGTATGATATATAATACGCTGGGCACTCGTGGCAACTAATCAATATTGTTTCTGTTTTAGAAAAAATGACGAAAAAATATGATCCGAATAATCCCAAAGATGCAGAGGAATTGTTAAAAATATATGAGAGTTTAGAAGATGACGATACTTTGGCTCAGGAAATTGACCAGTGTAACGAAGTTCAACTTACGTTGCATTATCCAAATGACGGAAATGATTCTGACAGAGATGATGCCGGAAGTGATGAGGAAGACCAGTTCAATTACACTTTTCAAAGTATTGGCCGAGGTACACTGTCTCAAAGCATGGATATTACAGCTGTTTCTCGAAAAAATACAGCAATTGAGAAAACAGTGCTGTCAAATACAACGGTGACTGAAACTCACGAATCAGGTAACAAAAGAAAAAGGGAGGTTGCAAAAACTTCACAAGATTCTGAAAACAGAAAAAAATGTATAAAAAGAATCGATCGTAAGTGGGAAGAAAAAAAAACTGGAAAAGGGAGCCATAAATGATATTTTCAAAAACAATATGGAACCCCAAATAATAAATGAATGGAAACAACAAAATGTGAAGCCAATCGATGTATTTAAATTATTTTTTGATGAAAAATTCATGGACTATCTTTGTAAAGAAACGGTAAAGTACGCTTCACAAAAATCTTGTCCTTTCTCTTTGTCCGTTGATGATTTATATAAATACTTTGGCATCCTTATTCTCTCTGGATACCACCCATTGCCTTCTAGGAGAATGTATTGGGAATGTCGAGGGGACTCTCACTCACATCTAGTAAGTAACACTATGAGTCGAAACAGATTTGAACAGATTCATAGATTTTTACACTTTAACGATAATACGTTGTACCAACAAAACAATAAAGCGTTCAAAATTCAACCTCTAATTGACCATCTAAATGAACGTTTTCATAATTACAATTTTCATAAAACCCATCCGTTACGGATATAAATTCTGGTGCGTTGCGACCAGTAAAGGTTACCTTGCAAAATTTCATCCCTATACTGGAAGTGGAGATAAATTACAGGGTAACTCGTTAGGAAGTTCCGTAACCGAAAAGCTGTGTATAGGGTTTTTACCACAAGAATCTGTTATATATATTGATAATTTTTTTACATCTTTACCTTTACTGACAAGGTTGAGAGATCAAAAGATACACTGTATCGGAACAATTAGAAAAGACAGGATTGAAAGAGCCCCACTCAAAGAAATAAAAAAAGAAATTCGTGGAACTTCCCACGCTCTACATAGCAAAGAACACCAGCTCACTCTTGTTCGCTGGAATGACAATAATGAAGTTACTATGGCAACTAACATTTCAACTCCAGAAGTATTTACTATTGGAAACTGTAACAGATGGTCCAGAAAAGACAGAAAAATTATAGCGGTCCCTCAACCAAACGTTGTGCAAATGTATAACAAGGGAATGGGTGGTGTAGACTTATTCAATAAGCTACGAGGTTTATATAGGATTCGAATTCGATCTAAAAAATGGTATTGGGCGATATTTAGATTTTGCTTGAATGGGGCAATAGTCAACATGTGGCTTCTTTACCGCAACATTGAGGCAATTTCTTTATTAGAATTTTACAGGCGAATTGTGGAGGCCCTGCTGACAGCTCCAGATATTCCAACGCCGCGTGGAGTACGTCCAAAGTCTTCAAAAAATGTTGCTGACGAAATTCGTTTGGATAATGTGGGTCATTTGGTGGACAAAATTGAAAAACAACGAAGGTGCGGCAAATGTGGCAAGTGTACCAAATATCGATGCATTAAATGTAATGTAGGACTTCATCCCGAGCAATGTTTTGTCAAATATCACACGTTGTAAAAATTTTAAAATAAATAATGTTTTATGAAATATTGTGTCCTTCATTGCCCAGCGTATGATATATCATACGTTAAAAAAAAGAGAGTTACAAAGAAAAAAACCGTAAATTTTGCACATTACTATTAAAAATAACCTCTCCTTATTTGATTCTGAAGTTTTGATTTAATTTTGATAAAAATTTAATTTTGGGCATTAATGGGTTAAGATACCTATATATTAGAAAATATAACTCTTATCTTTACTTATCTTATCATTAGTAAAAACTTATCATGATAAGTTTTTACTTATAATTTTTTTACATACATGTACAACTACCACATGTTTTTTGCTGTGCTAATTTTATGAAAATTGTTAACTGTATTTAGTTCAATTTATTGTTTATACAAATAATTATACAATGTCCATTGTCATAAGCTTCTTTACAATTGTTAATATCACTGACTGCTACATAGCTTTTTGAGGTAACATACTTAATAACTTTTCATTGTATGTTAGGTTTTTCATATTGTTCTTTTTAGGTGAACTGATGATGCTATCAAATTGGATTGGCATTTTCAATAAATAGATGAAGTAGCCATCATCTTTGTCTTTTTTCTCCAATTTTTGACCGAAAAACCCGCCACTCTTCGAGTGATCCTTATTTTGTGTGTGTCTGTGTATATATATATATATATATATATATATAATATATATATATATATATATATATATATATATATATATATATATATATATATTTCTATATGTGTGCATCTAAAATTTATATTTGTAATTAAATTTTTTTCTGTAAAGTGTGTTTGTTTTGAAATAAATAAATAAATGTTTAGTAGATAATGCACAATAAGGAATAAAAATGACAATTAAAGCATTATATTATATTATAACAATAAGGCATTCAGTGATGTACACCTTTATTCTATTTAATCTTCAATATTGACTATATCTGACATATATTTATACACATTTAGTATTAATCAATTAACTATAACGGAACTTTTCGTTGTAAACTTCGAACTATAACATAGGTATCACTGATAACCCATATTGCTCCTGTGGTAAAGTGGGAGATCTGCAGCACCTTATATTGGAGTGTGGACAGTACAGACAAAGTATCAAAATGATGTTTGAAAAACTAATTGAGCTAAATTGTCCATTGCCTGTCAATTTGAATACAATTATTTAAAAAAATAATAAGCAGATATTAAAATGTATCTACGAATACATAACGTCCTGTAAATTTAAATTATAAGTAGCTTTAGGTATTCAAATTAAAAATTGTAAATATGTCAAAAATTGAATGTGTATACGAACATATCCTTATTGTAAATTTATATAATAAGTAGGCTTAGGTAATA